TGACGAAAGAAAACAGGATTCGAGATAAGAGTTGAACAGCCAAAACCAAGACCAACAATTTGCAAACCAAAACCACAATGGGGTAGAGGAGAATTTCTCTTATCTGTTCATTATGTTGGTTTGCCTTTGCGGAATTCAGTTCGCGAGAAAATGGCCTGACAAGGCTTGTTTACAAAATGGAGTTAAGGCCATTTCAATTGTTGGTATTGAAACAATGGCTTCGCTATCTCCTGCGATACTGATTTCAAGAATACTGGTGGCTATCCATGTGGTCCTGCACCCTTTGATTTTTTTCCTTGATTTGTTTTCCGTCGATCTTGTTTTCCGTGCTGACAAGGGGTAATCAACTCTGCACACTGTGCCGAAACACAGCATGGCACACTGTTCGGCTCGTTATGGAACACGTTGACAAGTATGTCATGAACAATATTATATAAAACGGCAACACTGTTGAGCGATGAAGTTTTTCTAATCGATTTACCCGTTGCTAAGGTTTGTTTTTTCCCAAGTGTAAAATAAATAGCCGTAAGTTCAGGTCAATACTAGAGATGGGCTATCAGATGCGGATTCATTCAAAAGATCCGGTTTAGTATGGAGAGTGAATAATCTACAGCTGATGTTTTATATGAATCGGATCATCGGCCTTTCGCTCTGTTATCGGTTCTAAAAAACTCTACTTTTAGGCGCATTTTTGGAAACAGTTGAAGCTAGAAAATAAAATTTATGCCTGCAGTTCCTGAAAAATCTACACGGCCAATCATACCAACTCAGCGACTGAGAATAATTGACTCAGAGAATTTTCTTTCGATACGAAATTTACTCAGATTTGGAAGAAACTGCAGCTACTCATAAGCTATGAGTAACTGCAGTTTCTTGCAAATCTGGGTAAATTTCGTATGGAAAGAAAATTCTCTGAGTCAATTATTCTCAATCGCTTAGCTGGTATGATTGGCCGTGTAACGAGGAGAATTGATGGGTAAAATTGCTGAGGATATGTGACGTATGGCTGACCTCTACATCGAGCAGCAGCTGAAGGTGGGGATCCTCTCCATGAACTGTATGGGACTTTGAATGCTAATCAGCCCCGAACTTGGAAGTGAGGTGCCTGCTCGATTTATACTGTACACTCAGATGTAAAAAAAACCTACCGAGATTTTGATTTTTCACATGCTTAAATATTAAAAAAAAATCGGATTTTGATGCCATTCGTAGTTAAAGCATGCTATGGTCCATATGGACAAATTTTAAAATTTTCTGTATTTACACCAAAAGTTGTGATTTTTTTAAAGTATGCTATTCGATTACCTACACGAAACGAAAATCAATTATCTTATTCATGTCTTTCACTTATACATTTTTGCCAAAACATCAGCGTTAGACATTCCATAAGACAAACCTCATGGGTCCTATAAGAATGCGTAAAAGGTATGTGTGACCGCTTATACATTTCATTTGACACATGATCTTCATTAACTTTTTGCAAGGTGACTGCTTATTAGTTGACTTATACATTTTATGAATAATTAGCAATAGAAATTTGCCAAAAGGTATAAGGAGATTTCTATCCGTGTATAGCTTAAAACGGATAATGTGATTGAAATCAAGTCGATAGGTTTAATCGTTGTCGAGAAATCGTTAAAAACGTACCGTGTAAATCGCGACTCAGCGGCACTAACCCTGTAAAAAACGTGTAAAAAACCGCGTAAAAAAGACTTTAGTATACTATATAATGCATGCATCCCACACGTATTGTTATGATTCTAAAATTTACATTTTTAGCATCTTATTGGTATAAATAGATGTCCTCCCTGTATTGACCTTTATTTCTTCTACGACTCGGTTTGGGTTCACCTTTGCTAGCCTGGCTAAGTTTTGTTCTGGAGGCCGTACTAATCTAATCTAATCTAATCTAATCTAATACACATGCAGCCAGTACGAGAAAGCATCCTGGAAAATGATTAGGTTAGATGAGGTCTAATCATTTTTCTTGTCTAATTGATGTTAGCAGCATATCTGAGATATGATATAAACATCAATACGGCCAGACCCACTGCGTTGTATTTGCCGCAAAGATGATTCTTGGAAATGAATGGTAACATTTCTTGAATCTACAGGGGTTGAAGGATGCGTGGACATACCGTACCAAACGCTCCGAGTTACTATGTGTAGTTGTGTGTGATGTGTAAATATTTGTACAATATTGATAAATCATAAAATAATGCAATGGAAGGATCTTACCGAATTTTCTCCTATGTTGGTAATGATTCTTTTGCGCTTAAAAGTTTCGTTGGATGCATCCGCTCCTTGTTTATCATGGGGTTTGCGATGCAGTTCGTCGTCATTGCTCGTGGTTATGTTTAGTCCGTCGCGTCCGGACCAGATCCTTAGCCATAATCTTGACCGCATCCATCTGATTTTCTTTGGCCAGCTTTTTGATGTCGGCGATGATCTTCTTTTCCTGCTGTTCCATTTTCATCTTCTTCCGATCAAAATCCCGCATCGCTTTATTCAGAGCCCGCTGGTTCTTGCGCATCATCTCGTCTGGAGACATTTTCTTACCGAACAGCCACTCTATTTTCTGGTTGTTTTCCGAATCAAATAGTGGTAAGACTGGTTGAATAAAGCGGAACTTCGGTGGTCTCACAAGCTAATCTTGCACAAAATTTGATTCTATTTTTTTTCGAATCTGACTCTACTTGTAATCGGAATACCGGTCATTGGAAAAACCTTCTTTCGGCCATTAAAAGAAAAACTATTCTTCAAAAAACTTATCGATTTTTAAAACTTGCAAATCATCTTCGGATAAAATTTGGAAAACCGCGATGAAAACATAATATACGAGCAATTTTCCTGTTCTGGAGGCCGTACTAATAGCCAAAAAATCTTGAAATAAGTGGCATCGTCATTCGCGTTTTTTACCGGAGCCGAATGATGATTTTTCTACTTCTACCTTTTCTGCGATGAATCAAAAATCAGAATCTATGCAAGTTTGATCGCGAGGTGGTACTTGAACTCGTAATCTCCACTGTATTATCTGCTGTGATCAAATTTGTCGGTCCTTCATGAAACACTCATTTGGAATCGTTGAACCACGCGTGTAATTTTATGCTCATTTTACTTTCAACAGGACAGGCACTCGTATTTCATATGTACTCAAATAGGTCGTTTAATATTGGAATTCCGGAGTGTTTTGGATTTTTGGCGTAATTGCTTTTGTAAACAAACACGTAAATCGTGAATTTCTCGTGAATAAAAGCTCATTCTCGTAAAAAAAAAAACTATACCAAATGATAGAGAAATCATTCTTCTACGTGATAGTGTTATTAGTTTTCGAGATTGCGCTTTTAATCACGATAAATCGGCGATTAACGTGCTGTTTACAAATGCAATTATGCCCAAATCTCAAGTCGCTCCGGAATTTATGTTCACAACTTTTTTCTTGAACCGTCCATGAGAGCTTGAAATTGTAAACAAATGATTTCAAAAGTTACAACTGCAGGGTTGCCAAACTAATGGAATACTGAGATTGACACAGCTTGATTGCCACACTTCGACACGATCGGCACAAAGCTTGGCACAGATAAAGTATTCGGCACAGATTGATATGTGCAGAGTTGAACACCCCTTGCGTGCTGAGCACCAATGTTACCGACGCCAGGGAGGCAGCTTCCACACCTGAACCCTACCTATCGACCCATCAACTCATGAACCGGGGGGACCAACGGCTTTACTTCCCTCCGAACATCTCGGCGGCGCTGACTGGGATTGAACCCAGGCCTGCTGGGGTGAGAGGTAATCCCGCTTACCACTACACCACCGGCGCCACTATGCACCCTTTGATGCATACAATGTATTTAGATAATGTAAGATTTCGTTGAGGGTAACATTATTAATTACAATATATTTCATTGGTTCAGGAAGGTATGAGAAATACTGGTAATCCCGATCTTGGTCATCATGACTTGTGTAATGAAGAGGCAGGCTTATCAAGAAGACTTTACTATGCAAAAATGTCAGAGAAAAATTCGTTTTGAATAATTAAAATTGCAAAAATTGCCTGGGGTCATATTGACCCCAAGATACAGACAAAGGATTAAATCAATCCAATTTTTCGTTATGCAGTAACCCCTGGGGTGGTACCGTCCACCCGCTGCTGTTTCTCGGCTGTCTTTCAACCAATTCCGCTGATGTTTAGTATGTGATTAGTGTCAACCATAAACTAGTTATCTACAGAAAATCAGCTTAATTGCTTGAAGGACAGCCGCGAAATATCGGTGGGTAGAGGGTACCACCCACCGCATATTTATACGGAAAAGTTCGAGGGGGGCGTCACATCTAAATTTCAATTCTAACCAGCTAACGCAGCTCACCACAGCAAAATCGTACATAGTGTCACCCCCTCGTAGGGGTTGGTGTATATTAATTGTAACGTAACGTAAACAAATGTGATGTATCGTTTGAGCTTAGTCCTTCTCTCCTATGCATCACAAATTGTCACGTTTCTTCATAAATGTTTGACGTGACTCATCGGCGTCAAACCACGCTCATCTTCAACGATTAAACTAATTACCGTAGAACCCCGTTAGTTTGAATAGCTAAAATTGCGATGAATCAGAGCTCATTTTGAATTTGTTTAACTGGTACACCTGGAGTGCTGAATGGCGTCACGAACATGTACCATTCACATAAATTCAAAATGAGTGTTGTTTAATTCCTATTTTAGCTATTCAATCTAACGGGGCTATGTGCTACCTTATCAAGTGGCTTCTATTGGTGTTGGTCTTGCAATTTTGAGAAATGTAGCACCGTAGATGCATTACATCAGCTAATACTGAGAAAGCGAGCAACGATCGACAGAATGAGAGAGCAGTGGCGTTACACCGGCATTTTAATGGATTGCGCATGGTGGGTGCACTGAGTTTGCTCTCTCCATTTAGTATGAGGTGGTGGGGATGGGGAGCTGCCATGCTTAGTAGTGCCTCGTTGAGAAATTCTACCGAGCAGATCGAAGTTAAACGGCACCAGTCGAAGGAGTGTTGTGTGCTGTTTGTGACTAGTAGTGCAAAAGATATCCATATTTCATCCAAAAATTGCCGGATAATTTTGTGCAGATCCCACGGCGGAGGCTTCATCTGCTGAGCCCAGGGCGACGAAAGTGAGCCTGTCTTTGCCAAGAGGAAGACCACATTCTATTGCGAGATAGTCAATCAAACGGGTAAGATACATGAATGCACTACTGATGATGTCATTCCAGTATTTTCGACGCTAGTGTTGTGTCTGAACTAGAAGTGTTTCTTTACGGCATGTAACATTTTTGAGGATAATTTTTTTTTTAAATAGTTATATAGTTTAATAATTTTGCTATTAGCCCAATGTATACCATGGATCGGATTATATTTCGCGTAAAATGTGACAACATGTAGTGCGACAGCGATGTTGTCTTTGAATGATAGGATAATGCAATATCATGGTGTGTTGTGAAATCTGTATCGAAAGATGCCAACTTCGCATTACACAATCGGTGAAATAATTGAGTTCCAATAAATACGTTTCTAAAAAATCAAGCCAACCATCAAGCAAGTGCTTTGAAAATCATCGATGCTTTGGTGAATCACATAAGTGGTACGAGCTGGTACTATTAAATATATAAGTGGCAGCTCACAATGGAACGTGTAAATAAATCAAAACAGAGAGGAAACTTGCAAAGCATCCAAGAGAGATTCTATTAATTGACTTCCTCTCTTTAAAATAACAAAGTTTCTTCCGCCGCGTCTACGAAGCTTCTTCGCTCCACCGAAAAATCCCAAGTGTCAATCTTTGCGTGAAAATGCCATGCTTACCATGTTTCTTAAGGCCCAAAAGTAATGTGGGCGGAAGCGGATATATGTCTAACTGAAGTCGATTTGATTCTAACTAGTTTTCAATCCGACAAGTAGGTTTACTCAGATCGGGCTTTCCGCTGCCGCTGCCGTTCCGCTTCCGCTGTCATTGCGCTTGGGCCTTTAGGCTGTGTTCCATTTGTTGAATTTTTGCTTAAATTTGACAGATGGAAAATTTTCAAATTAACCTGCTATTGTACCAGACTTATTTCTGACAGACCAGGAATCAATTTTGGCAAACACAGGATTTTTGAACAATATAATTTATTTTCGAAGTGTCCAATTTATGTGAAAATTCACCAAATGGAACATAGCCGGAGAATAGAAAAGGAACCATTACAAGCTGAATATTGCAGTAGGTCCTAAGTAACATTGATCGATTCTCTTCGTCAACTTTCTCTTTCGTTAATAACTTGAGCATATAACCATAGAGGTAACTCTAAGACTAGAAGGTCCCGAAGAAACGTGCTCAACTTTTTGGCTCAGCTCTGGTACTCTCTTCGGTCCCAAGCTAATCGATGGACCATTCGAAACATAGGAAAATCGACGAACCCCTCATTTTATCTGTCAAACTTTCACAGCAAATCAAAACAAACATAGAGTAGTACTAGAATTTGAACTAGAATGGGGTACGTTAATCGATTTGCTTGGGACGAATAGGCTAGTCAAGTAGTGAGCCAATTTAAAATACACATATACCTGGAAATGTCTTTACATGGCCATGGGGATACAAAGAGAAAGTTGACAAAGAGATTCTGTCAATGCTACTTAGGACCTTATGCAATGTTCAGCTTGATTATTGAAGAAAGCTTTTTTTCCTTTGGTTTGTTTTCCGTCGATCTTGTTTTCCGTGCTGTGCACCAATGCTACCGACGCCAGGGAGGCAGCTCCCACACCTGGACCCTACCCTATCAACCCATCAACTCATGAAGCGGGGACGAACGGCTTTACTTCCCTTCCGAAGGAAGGCGTGATCAGAGATGTTATGCCTCAGAACATCCCGGCGGCGCCGACTGAGATTGAAACCAGGCCTGCTGGGGTGAGAGGTAATCACGCTTACCACTACACCACCGGCGCTGCTCATTGAAGAGAGCTTATTATTGCTAAAAATGCTAAACAGTAAAAAGCAAAAGAAGGTGACACGTGCATTAGTGAGCAGAAAAGACTCTTATGAGAAGTGAAGCTTTCTGGAGTTCCAAGGTGTTTATTATGAACCCAATGAAATGTATTGGCAAAAAGTGACTGATACCATCAAAACTGTTTAGTTGGAAGTTTAGTCGAATTGCACTTATTGTAATTTTTTTTTTTCATATATGGCGCTATTCAAATGTCAGAATATTCAACTAACTCTTCGAATCACCAACTGTCATCAATCAGCTTATGGGTTGCTAATACGGCTTGTTTGCCGATTTGACAAAAAAAAATAATATTTTTGCAAGTGGTTCAAGATCCAATGTTCATAATTAGCCAGAATACAGTCATTGTTTCTATATATGGAACCTGGAGATAACGGAACGGCTCTCGAAAGATCCGGAACATCCGTAAAAGTGGTCTATCCATAAACCTGATCCTAGAACTCAGCGGTTTTTTCGAAAACATTAGGAACTGTGATATAAGGCATAAACATGGACTCGGATAGCCATCGGACCGTCCTCCGGAAGATCTGGAACATCCGTAAAAGTGTTCAATCTATGAAACTGATCCTAGAGCTATTCGGGTTTTTTTTGAAAACACTTGGGACTGTCATATATAAATTAATTAGGGGTCATGACATAAACATGTACCTAGAAGGCCATGGGACCTTCCTCCGGAAGATCTGGAACATTCTTAAAAATGGTCAATCCATGAAACTGATCCTAGAACTCCGTGGTTTTTTCGAAAGCATTAGGAACTGTGATATAAGAAATAATTTGGGGTCATGACATAAACATGAACCTGTATGGCCATAAGACCGTCCTCCGGAATAACCAAAACATCCGTAAAAGTGGTCAATTCATGAAACTGATCATAGAACTCCGCGGTTTTAGAAAAAACACTAGGAGCTGTGATGATAGAATGAATTTGGGGTCGTGACAAACGTGGACCCTGATAGACATGAGACTGTCCTCCGAAAGATCCGGAACATCCGTAAAAGTGGTCAATCCACGAAACTGACCCTAGAGTTCTACGGTTTTTTTTCAAAAACATTAGGAACTGTGATACACGAAATAATTTGTGTTCATGACATGAACACGGACTCGGATGGTCATGGGAGCGTGCTCTGAAAGATCCGAATGCTAAAAAAAAAATGCAAAAAGTGTGTTTCATGCTTCATAAGGAATTTTTTTTTGTAATTACTTTATTTGTACAGGCTCAATCGAATAAACTTTACAGAGCCGAGTTATCCTTTGCGTTATACATTATTACTGTCTTATATTTAAAGTTAAAGGAACTGGACCGAGTACTCGCGGTCGTCTCGAGGTTAGTGGAGATTTACAATTTTTTGGATGGGAAAAGGGAAGAAGGAGGTTTTAAATGTGGTTTACGATATAACTATTTAATTAATCCTAAAGCATGAAATTATTTCTATTCATCTTGAAAACAAACATTGAAAAAAAACCACACGTACAAAATACAAACTAAACACAAGGTTAATCAAACTTACAATCTAAGGTTAATATCCTTAAAGTAAACATATATGAGTTTCATAAACTCCAGATCGCGTCTAGCCAAAATATCCCGAACTGGAACATTAGGTTGTCTACCTCGAGCCCGAAGTGAATCATAAAAATGTGATCTGACTTCACGATACTCCGCACAAGACCAAAGGATGTGATCAGCGTCCTGGTAACCTTGTCCACATTCACAGAGATTGCTGTCACCCAACCACACACGGAACAAGTGAGCGTTTAGACAATAGTGATTGGACATGAGACGAGACATCATGCGTATGAAGTCTCGACTCAAGTCCAACCCTTTGAACCATGCAAACTTCGACACCTTAGGGATAATTGAATGTAGCCATCGTCCCAAGCTCCCTTCACTCCATTGATGTTGCCAGCTAACGAGCGACTGCTGACGATATATAGAGAAAAATTCGGCAGCCCTAAGTTTGCACCTTTAGAATTGATAAAACGATCCATAAAATATTGAAAAACGTTCCATTAAAAACATCCAAATGATCCATAAAACATCGGAGAAAATCCTTAAAAAAGTGTGGATGATCCATAAAAAATATCAATATTATCAATATTTTATGTGAAATTTAGCATCACAATTGTAAAAATGTACCACTAAATTTCTAAATAATGAGCATTGGAATTGTACAAATTACCCATACACATATTGCAATTGATCCATAAAACATTCAGCAATGAACCTTAAACTAAAGAAAGTGATCCATAAAAAATCAAGTTTGCACATTTAAAAATATAGGCATGATCCATAAATTAGACGTATATTATTCATGTTTAGGACACTATTTTTTTTTTAATTTTGATCCATAAACCTTGAAAAATTGCTCCACTGCTTATCTACTTAGATTTACTGTCCTTCCCGTGTATTTAAGGTAGATGTGCGAAGCGACGGGCAAGCGTCTAGAATTAGCTTCCAAAAGAAGATTCTATAATAATATTCTTAAGACGTTTCCTATGGAAGCTTCATTTAGAAACTTTTTAAGAAGCTTATTCTAGACGCTCGCCCATCGTTCTGCTCTTCTGACAAAAAAAAACACGGGCAGAACAGTAAATCTGAGTAGCTCCGCAGTAATGTAGCAATTTTCCAAGGTTTATTGATCAAATTAAAAAAAAAAACATATGTATATAGACCGAGATATAGACTATAATTGGAACACACCAAAATTAGCACGTCTACCAACAACTGGAACACCTACCCTAGGTATGATCCATAAAATTAACATTTTTTTTTCATTTTTTCTTAAGAAGATTATTATAGAAGCTTCTTTTGGAAGCTAATTCTAGACGCTTGACATCTACCTAAAAACACGGCAGGACAGTAAATCTAAGTAGTTAAGCAGTAATGGAGCAATTTTTCATGGTTTATGGATCAAAATTAATAATACAGTGTCCAAAACGTGAATAATATACGTCTAATTTATGGATCATGGCTGTTCGGAATATCGGGATAATCCTGTACCGCCAAGTCCAGTGACAACCCTGTGGGGGATTCAGAGAGCTACGGTAACGGTCGCTGTCAGAAATGACAGACGTCAGGTTTGGTTCAACGGAACTGTGAACTCACAGTTCCGTTGAACCAAATATCTAAGGTTTGGTCGGAGTATGAACGAGAAAAAAAGAGGAAAAGAAGATACAATTCCAAACCATTTAAAAAACGTTTT